AGGAGTATTCTGTGCATGTTTCTCGCACCACACTCAAATGCACTGCCCTTGTGCCCTGATGCGGGTGCCAAAATATTGTTAACATCACCCTACATGCAGATCACAAATGCAGTGCATTTGCAGGCACCAAATTGCTTGCACTACTTTTTCTGCATTCTGGTGCAATTTGCAGGCTATTCAAAAGTCATAGAAACACACAGGAATCACATGAGAACATGGAATGCATTCCAGTGCAATTCAAGCATGACCTGGCCCTTACTTAAAACTCAGATATCAAGGAACTAGTGTTTTCTTTTCTATTGACACGTGTAGCTTCATCATGCCAAGTTATCCTAGTTCCTGAGAAGATTGTGGATTCCTAGTCTGGCAAGGGATTTAAAAAGGTCACAAAACTATTTTAAATTGATCAGTGTAAGGAAAATAATGGAATGGAACATATTTAATTCCACTGCAAATTTTTACAGGACAGGCCTAGCACATCTAGCCCAAGAGATTATGGTTTGATGCTAAAATAAGTCTGCAAGAACTCCAAAATTGTAACTTGATCTCTACAGATAACTCTTGCAACAGCTACTGTCAAAGAAGTGCATGCCTCTACAATCAGAAGGAGTTTACGCTAATTTAACCTGCATGGGAGGTGTGTCAGGAAAAGAAAACATTAGGGCAGCACAGTGGCTAAATGGTTAGCACTTCCGCCTGGCAGTACTAGGGTCATTGGTTCGAATATCAGCCACGGCACCACCTGCTTGGAGTTTGCATGTTCTCTCTATGCCTGTGCGGGTTTCCTCCGGGAACTCTGGTTTCCTTCCACAATCCAAAGACATGCTGGTAGGTTAATTGGCTCCTGTCTAAATTGGCCCTAGTATATGTATATATGTATGAATGTAAGTTAGGGACTTTAGATTGTACAACCCTTGAGGTGTACAATCTAGTGCTGTGTAAATTGACGGCGCTATATAAGTACCTGAAATAAAAAATAAATAAGTTTGCCATGGAACATACAGGCAAAGACCAGGACTTCTGAAACAATATGTTGTAGACTGATGAATCAGAGATATAGTTGTTTGACCATAGAAATGTTTGGTAAATAATGAAGATAGCATTTCAGGAGAAGAGCATCAATCTAACTGTGAAGCATGGTGGTGGAAAATTCATTGATTTTAGGTTGGTCTGTTTCTTCATGGTCTAAGCAGCTTTCACTCATCAAGTCAGCTATGCGTTCTGCATTATATCAAAGCATGCTTCAGGAAAATGTGAGGCCACTGCCCAAAATTTTAAGTTGAACAGGGAATTCATTTTTCAGCTTGAGATCTGGAGCACTCTAGGAAGTCCATCAAAAAATGGCCCAAAAAGGAAAACATTGAGGGTTTCTAGATTGACCTAGTTAAAGTTCTGATCTGAATCTTATTGCAATTTAGTAGGATTTGAAAAGGGCAGTTCATGCAAGAAAACCAACAAACATCTTGCAACTACAGGCATTTTGCATGGAGGAGTGGTCAAAAATATCACTGGTGGGACTGGTGGGACTGGTGGGAAGTGTCTCAAAATGCCTACAATGTAACACTTCTGCTGAAGGGGGCAATACCTGTTTTTAAGGCCAATAGCTTAAATACTTGTAACGCTAATTCTGTAGGAGCTGCAGGAATACTCTCTAGGTCCTCCCAGTAACTTTGCTCCACAACCAGGCATATGTGATCATTCCCACACTTCTCCAATAATCAGTCTAGGGGTGTTGATTTTGTTGTTTTTATTTTTGGAGAATTGGGATAGGGATGAGGGGGATGAGTGCGATACTCCAAAATAGGAAATATGTACATTGAGGACATTGTTTAATCTTCAGGGCAAGCTATATCAGAGTCCATGCTTCAATCAAAAAGTGGACTTCAGCTTAAGGCAGGAGCAACAAGTAATAGCAGTAACTTCTCCAGAGCCTCAGAGCAGCATTTTCTTAAGTAGTAATAGAAAGATGGACATTCCCTTTGCTAGACTTTCTTGCACCAGAGGGAGTTAAGCAGCACACAGTCTCTAAGATCCTTTAGGGATATTTGTACTCACAAGGCCCAAGAGCAGCTGAATGCCTTCATCTGTGATACCAGACCAGATCTTCAGGAGACAGGTCCCCACTCAGCATAGCAGAACCCAAGTCTTAGCAATTCAGGTACTCAGGTAGCCCACCTGAGGCCTACGGCAGCAGCTACCTGGGAGAGAAATGTGCCTTCTCCCAGGCTTGGGCTGTCCTAGCCAGGAAAGAACCCAGAGCCCCGTGTGAATAATACAGTTACCCATCATGCCTTAGAACCCCTCTCCCTGGTATAGGCTGAAGCTGTATCAATATTCATGCTGTCATCTGCATAATTCCACACCCATCATCTAGAAACATCTACAATTTCCTGGATACAGAGGAAGCTATAGGCTATAGGCAGACTGGCAGCAGCTGAGCACACAGAGCAAAACTAAATGATGACAGCTCACCCAGTACAGTCAGCTAATAATGCTTTTTCTAATAAATATTTACAGCCACTCTGACTACAGAGTGACAACTAAATTTACCTATCAAAACAAAACTAATACTATCTATCTAATCATAACACCTTCCTAGGAGGGTGCTACATACTCTTTCCACAGTACTGCAAATATTAATATTTTTGAAGAATAAAGGCAAATCATCTTTGTACACTGCTCACAAAAAATAAAGGAACACTTTTTAATCAGAGTATAGCATCAAGTCAATTAAACTCCTGGGATATTAATCTGGTCAGTTAAGTAGCAGAGGGGGTTGTTAATCAGTTTCAGCTGCTTTGGTGTTAATGAAATTAACAACAGGTGCACTCGATGGGTAACAATGAGACAACCCCCAAAACAGGAATGGTTTTACAGGTGGAGGCCAGTTACAATTTTTTCCCTACTCATCTTTTCTGACTGTTTTTCACCAGTTTTGCATTTGGCTAGGGTCAGTGTCACTACTGGTAGCATGAGGCAATACCTAGACCCTACAGAGGTTGCACAGGCAGTCCAACTCCTCCAGGATGGCACATCAATATGTGCCATTGCCAGAAGGTTTTCTGTGTCTCCCAGCACAGTCTCAAGAGCATGGAAGAGATTCCAGGAGACAGGCAATTACTCTAGGAGAGTTGGAGAGGGCCATAGAAGGTCCTTAACCCATCAGCAGGACCGGTATCTGCTCCTTTGTGCAAGGAGGAACAGGATGAGCACTGCCAAAACCCTACAAAATGAACTCCAGCAGGCCACTGATGTGAATGTCCCTGACCAAACAATCAGAAACAGACTTCATGAGGGTGGTCTGAGGGCCCGACGTCCTCTAGCGGGCCCTGTGCTCACTGCCCGGCACCATAGAGCTCGATTGACATTTGCCATTGAACACCACAATTGGCAGGTTCCACACTGGTGCCCTGTGCTTTTCACAGATGAGAGCAGGTTCACCGTGAGCACATGTGACAGAGATGAAAGGGTCTGGAGAAGCCGTGGAGAATATTACTAATATTGTAACATTGTTCAGCATAACCCTTTTTGGTGGTGGGTCAGTGATGGTCTAGGAAAGCATATCCATGGAGGGATGCACAGACCTCTACAGGCTAGACAATGGTACCCTGACTGCCATTAGGCAGTGGTATGAAATCCTTGGACCCATTGTCAGTACTATCTGGTCAGACTCTACGCTGGTGCAGAGGGTCCTGGGTTCCTCTTGGTGCACAACAATGCTCTGCACCATCCGTTGTCTCATTAGGAGCATGCCCCAACATTGTCAGGCATGCATACAAGCACATGGGGGCCATACAAACTACTGAGTACCATTTTGAGTTGCTGCAATGAAATTTCAGCAAAATGGACTAGCCTGCTGCATCATTTTTTCACTCTGATTTTCGGGGTGTCTTTGAATTCAGTCCTCTGTAAGTTGATCGTCTTCATTTCCATCAAAAGATGGAGAATCCTTACGTTCCTAACACATGACCCAGTCCATATCAGTATAGATATCCAACATGAGATTTTTCCCCGTTGAGATCTGATGTGCTTTCAAAGTGTTCCTTTAATTTTTTTGAGCAGTATATTTTTATTTAAGTATAGCATCTTTTTTGTAGGCACTTTTTGAATGAAGAGTTAACGCTGGTTTGTTCAAATATATTGAAAAGGTCAGCAATTTCTATGAGTTGTATTACTTTTTGAAGACACTCTCTCTCTCTCAATATATATGTGTGTATTTATATATACTCTACATATCCCCTATCCGAATCCTTTTTTAAATAATTGTATGTAGCATTAATATATAGACTTGCAGCCTTATTTTCACAGGTTTCTATGGTAACCACCATTCAGTGCAACTTAACCTACATCCAATGTATCCTCTTTATCTCATTCTCAGGTTTGACTCAATTGTCACCTTGTTGCCAAGCAACATAGTACATCTTCTGCTCAGCTGCTGTGATATCGATTGTTTGTTCACAATATGGAAGTTTATTTTGTACAATGGTTTTAAAGTGATTATCGCTCTGCGTTTATTTCCATAACGTGCACATGACACACATGTAATTACTTGTTCTGGAAATATAACAGCTTCATGCAGATGTTTCATAGACATGACTACCACATTAAACATGAAAATGATATTTTTAGCTGCAGTAAGAAATGATATTGCATATGAATAAGCAATATATATTATGACCTCTATGTGCAAAAAAGTCTCCATTGCATCATCATTGTAATAGCAAACAGCTTCTAATTTCATTTTTACCTATTAGCTGGGCCATTTATGATGAGTTTATTTTATTCATAAACACAGCCTGAGATATAGAAATATGAAAATGTGTGCTATTTTCCCTGGCAGGGTGATATTTCTTAAAAAGGGTCAATTCTAAAACTGATCATTCTGGGTTGGGTAGATGAGAGCAGGATGAACCCACATTACTTTCTAACATCTTTCACAGGTTCCTGCAGCAAGATTTTTCTACACAGGGTTTCCTAGCTCCACCTGTCTGTGTTAGCCACTAAGGCTAGGTTCACGTCTGTGCGGGTGGTGCCACTATGGATCCGCACGAAAATCTGTGCAGCCGCACCACCCACAAAGGGGAATGCGGACCTGCGGGCGGGTGCCATTACTTCTAATGGCACGCTGTCCGCAATGGAAAACGCAACTTTTCCTAAACAAAGAGGAATGCAGACCTGCGGGCGGGTGCCATTACTTCTAATGGCACTCCACCCGCACTGGAAAACGCAACCGTACTGGGAACCGAAGTTCCCTTGTGGGCTGCGTTTTCACAAGAAGTGCAGGGACTTCTTTCCTTCGTGTCAGGGGGAACAAGAGTCCATTCAAATGAATGGGCTCTCGTGCCCGTGCAAAACGTGGCCCGCACGGCCGCATATATGTGAACCAGGGGTTAGAAGGAGATCTCGGGTGCATTTTTAAATACTGTATATATTGTATTAAGGTGCAACAGGAGAGGTGATACATCCCTTGCTGCAACAGGAGGACTGAATCTCTGTGCAGTGAAAAGGTGAAGGTTTGGAAGGATTTCTGACAGGAGATTGTGTTGATGAGTCCCTAAGGCCTAGTTCACACTGACATTGAGAGCAGTCGTTTTTAATGCTCCTCAAATGCCTAGGCCAATGATGCTATGGGACTGTAGGCACTATGCTTTATTCTTTAACAAAATAAAAGACCACAACTTTTAGTTTTTTTGGTACTAACTTGGCCACGGCTGTTTTATTATTGGCATAAATGTAATTATAATGTTTTATAATAACTCTTTATTTGTACATATTAACTTAATAATAATATTTTAAAAAAATTTTCTTAGTTACTACGACTCAAGCTGTACATATTAACCTCCCTGGCGGTATGATTATTTCAGATTTTTGGTGCTGAAAGCGGTACCATTATTTTGCATGGAAATATGTAGTTTTTTTATTGTAGGCCTGTAATTTTTAGGAATAACTCACTGAAATCTGTCCGAACAAGAGTCTAGTAAACATTCCGGATATGATAAAACTTGAAACACAAAATCATAAATTATAATTTAATAAATAATCATAAAAAATATGTCCCAATATCACAGGGACCGGAATACGGAAGCCAGATGCCGGCATCGGCCGGAGGAGATGGCCGGGGACGCTGCAGGGGACACATCACGGGAGCGAAGGACAAGCTAAGTGCTGCAGGGAATTCCTGAGCAACGCCGCATGGTAAGCCCGAGTGTAGCTCGGGGTTACCGCTTGTGGTACTGAAACTTTACCCCGAGCTACACTCGGGAATACCGCCAGGGAGGTTAAAACAATACTTATCAACCATACCTATCTAACCATCCATCTTATTTCAAATAAACATACTTATGTAATTGTCTTCCTTTGACAAAGGTGACCCAACCAATAATAATTGGCTGCGACAACAAAAAAGGGGGCAGGTTGGAGGGGAGCACCACAGAGATGCCTCAGGTTTCTGCTTCCCCTGTGATCAGAACCCCCCTTTTATAGCCTCTCCTCCCTCTTATTTTTCAACTGATTGGCCAGTTTTGCCTTCCCGGATTGCCCAGGTGTAGTGGGGGGCTAAAAACTCCAATTTTCTAGAAGCTTCTCCATTATATAAATATATAATGGGGGGGCTTGAAACTTTTAATGGCTTTTTCTCCACCTCACACCAATGGGGGGACTAAAAACCCTACTGACCTTCTAGAATTTTCCCCACTGTATAAATACAGTGGGTGGTACTTAAAACTTTTTCCCCTGTCACAGTCCCATAAGAAAAGAGGAACCTCTATTAAATCCCCCTTGTCTTTTCCTAAGGATAGCACACTGTGCTGTTCACATTATCAAAACATGAAGCGTCAGCGACGTGTTGCTTCAAAATTGAAGCTTCATGTCGACTCTGGAAGAGTTTGAAGCCTTTTAACGCCTCCCATTTGAGTCTATGATGATGCTCCGCAAACACGCTGGCAGGCGTTTGCAGTGCGGTTGCAGCACGTTAGTAACATTACAGTTTAATATAGGTATTTGTGGCGAGGTTTTAACATTTGTAAAATAAATTAATAAAGTGCATCAAAACTGCGCATAGGGCATTTGAGGAACATTTTTAATGCTTGTAAAATGCCAGTCTAACACCCATACTAAAGCTCATTAATGCGTGTCTAACGCCCATACTAAAGTTCATTAATGCGTGTCTAACGCCCATACTAAAACTATAGAAGCATTTGTTAGGAGCTAGAAATTTAATCAAGTGTGAACAAACCCTAAAAAGTATAACAGAACAGTATGTGATTCAGCCCTTCCATATATAGAGTATCAGTTTACTGAATGTATCCACAAAGCTTAAAGTGTTACTAAACCCACAACAGTAAAATCAGTCTGTATATGCAGTAAAGCATGCTTGTTATACTCACTGTGGAACCTAAGGGGTTAATCCTCTGCATTGTGTAAAAAGGCTGTTTGATCCTGTCTTCTCTGATCCTCCCCTTCTTTTTCTGTCCCATTCCATCTGCCTTTAGTACAGAGCAGCAGTGGCAAATCTGCACATGTGTGTATTGCTAGAGGGTTTTCATTGTTTTTTTTTTGGAGGGGGGGGTGCAAGTAATCAGCACAGGGTCAAATAGCACTGTCCGGACAGAGGGTGGGGGTAATACAAGCTGCTGGACTTGTCACAGGCACTTGTTAAAAGTGCCAACTATTCCTACCCTCTCTGTCCTCTCCTTTTTTCATTGTGGCAAACAATATTACAGCTTTTATGAATGGAGCATGGGGTGGGAAGAACAGGCTTAGTCGGCACTTTTGACAAATGCCAAGTTATACTAAAGGGCAGCTTATTTATATATATATATATATATATATATATATATTGTGGCAGTGCGGTATCCTGCCATGGTGGAAATCATGATGGAGACACAGGATTCTCAACTAAACAGGTTGAGGGGCTCCAGGCAGTTCTCACAATGCAGAGGAAACTGATTTATAAGTTTCCTCTTTGGTTTGTAAAGCCTGTTTTGGGACCTGTAGCCTGGAGATTTCTTAGAGATTTGGGAGGGATGAAATCTCCAATCCTGGGCCCATATTTTGGGAGCAGCCAGCGTGCTGATTGCACAGGTGTGTGCAGGCCTTTTAGTGGAGGCCAGGCCATGATTCTGGGCTCCACCCCGGCAAACGGAGTCAGGAGGGCTCCACCCCGGCAGACGGGAGGTCTCTGCCTTGGAGTCAGGTGGAAGCCGGACTAGCTGTGTGCTAGTGCCATACTTTGGGAAGAGTCTGCAGGAGGCAGACTTAAAACTGCGTGCAAGCCAGGAGGCTGAATATTGTTGTGTTTGATGGTGGATACCCCTGCGTGGGAAGCATTTGTGTTTTCTTGAACTTTCTTAAATAAAAGTGGGTAAAAAAGCCCTGAAAAGAAAGCGAGTTGCTGTGTGTTTAACAAGAAGAGCTCTACCACTTGAAGCGAGTTCCCACAATATATATATAAATACAACCCCTCTGTGTGTCCATTGACACACAGAGTATGGCTCAGCCCCACCCCCACCCTCCTAACTAGCTGAGATTGACAGCAGCAGGAGCCAATGGCTCCCACTGCTGTGTCTCAGCCAATGAGGAGGGAGACTGCTGGGAGAACCGCTGCTCCTGTGTACATCACTGGATCGAGATCAGTATCGGGTAAATATTAGGAGGGCTGGGGGAGCAGAAGACTGAAGGTTTTTTTTACCTTCATGCATAAAATGAATGAAGGTAAACCACTTTAATCCAGGGAAGTCAGGGAACAGAATACTGAAAAGTTCACCAACCAAAGCAGCCATCAGCCCAAGAGACACTTTTCATTCAATTTAAAGTGTCACTAAACCCAGGACCCTGCATTCACTATACCTGGTCTCCCACAGTACACAGAACATGGAAGTGAAATTATTTTAGTAAATATAAACTGCTAAATGCCTTTTCTCATCAGCAGTACTGTATATAGCAGTCTTGTGACTTCTATAAGTGTTCAGCTGAGCACATGTTAAAGCTTGTAGGAGGAGTTTTCATTCTGCTGTAGGAGGATGCAGGACCCCTGACCTCTGCTCGAACAGTGCTGATTGGCCCTGAACTGATCACATGCTCTCTCCCAAGAAAAAAAAACCTTTCTAGCAATACACACTAAACTGAGCATGTGAAGAGTGACTACACATGATATATCTTATCAGGAGATAAGATGGGTAGACTGGAAGAAGGTGAGGATCAGAGAAGTCAGGATCAAACAGCATTTTTACACAATGCAGAGGATTAACCCCTTAGGTTCCACAGTGAGTATAACAAGCATGTTTTACTGCATATACAGACTGATTTTACTGTTGTGGTTTCAGTAACACTTTAAGTACCATCCTTAGGGATGATTTAAGGAAATACAAATTCACTACATTTAAACAATAAATGAAAAGCATGGTAGTTTTGCATATTATTTTACCTAAAATATAATTTTTAGGGAGAATTGTGATTTTTTTTCAATCACCTAAATATTATTATTATACAGTATTTTTATAGCACCAAAGGGTATGCTCAGCACTGTAAATATGAAAGAATTCCTATACCTACCACTTTTCATGTTTTCTGAGTCTATCAAAATGAAGGTCAGTGTGTTTTCTGGTTCAAGTACAACAGTTTCTCTGAGTTTCCTGTAACATTAGTCACACTCATCGTAGCACAAGAGAGCAGAGAATCATGTAACACGAGACTGTAACCCCGTCCTTTTTGTTCGGGAAACGCCTGCTGAATGAGGCTGAATTGAATTACATCAGTTTCAGATTAAATCTAATATAATATGCTGTTTAAACATTTGCAGTGAGATTGCATTTATTGCCTGGCATTTTTCTTTTTTACCCAACAAATTTTATTAAAATAAGCTCTAACAAGAGGCCTGACTGCTCCCATTTAATAATACTATATTACTGTTTGAAAACAAAAACAAATCTATGAAAATTAACATATTTTACAGTTTAGATATCGTGATAGCAAATTTCAGAAATGCATTCCTGTTGAATTCACTAAGGTCATTTTGCCAAAATTACTGCAAACTGGCATATTGTGGAAAGATTAATACACAGGTGTATGTACTTTGTATTCTAAATTCATTATCTTAGACAACTAATTTAAGGACCAATTAGATTTAATGAAAATTAAATGTTAATGTACAGTAGTTTGCTAAAAGATAACTTTAATCTTAGTTCCCATTTTTTTTTAATTCATGTACATTGTTCCCATCCTTATTTCTGCATTGCCAGTAAAGGGCAAAGAAAGCATGACAGAATACATACAGAGGATTATAATAGACCCTAGGCTTGATTTCTGGAAGGGTAGGGACTGTTGACTTAGCAATGTGCTTACTTAGCTTAGAGAATAAGGTGAAGATGTGTTCAGGTGGGCTC